TTTCTTTTTTCTTTCTTTCTTTCACTTCTCATCATTTTTTCTTTTCTCTCATTGTTATCTCTTTCTCGTTATTTTAAACATCCTTTCTTTCTTTCTTTCTTTCTTTCTTTCTTTCTTTCTTTCTTTCTTTCCTTCTCATCATTCACGCTTTCTTTTCTCTCATTGTTATCTCTTTCTCGTTATTTTAAACATCCTTTCTTTCTTTTTTTTTCTTTCTTTCTTTCTTTCTTTCTTTCTTTCACTTCTCATCATTCACGTTTTCTTTTCTCTCATTGTTATCTCTTTCTCGTTATTTTAAACATCCTTTCTTTCTTTCTTTCTTTCTTTCTTTCTTTCTTTCTTTCTTTCTTTCATTTCGTTTTTCTTTTTCTCTTCTCTTTTTCATTTTCATCCTTTCTTTCTTTCTTTCTTTCTTTCTTTCTTTCTTTCTTTCTTTCTCATCATTCACGTTTTCTTTTCTCTCATTGTTATCTCTTTCTCGTTATTTTAAACATCCTTTCCTTTCTTTCTTTCTTTCTTTTTTCTTTCTTTCTTTCTTTCTTTCTTTCTTTCTTTCACTTCTCATCATTCACGCTTTCTTTTCTCTCATTGTTATCTCTTTCTCGTTATTTTAAACATCCTTTCTTTCTTTCTTTCTTTCTTTCTTTCTTTCTTTCTTTCTTTCTTTCTTTCTTTCTTTCACTTCTCATCATTCACGTTTTCTTTTCTCTCATTGTTATCTCTTTCTCGTTATTTTAAACATCCTTTCTTTCTTTCTTTCTTTCTTTCTTTCTTTCTTTCTTTCTTTCACTTCTCATCATTCACGCTTTCTTTTCTCTCATTGTTATCTCTTTCTCGTTATTTTAAACATCCTTTCTTTCTTTCTTTCTTTCTTTCTTTCTTTCTTTCTTTCTTTCTTTCTTTCTTTCTTTCTTTCTTTCACTTCTCATCATTCACGTTTTCTTTTCTCTCATTGTTATCTCTTTCTCGTTATTTTAAACATCCTTTCTTTCTTTCTTTCTTTCTTTCTTTCTTTCTTTCTTTCTTTCTTTCTTTCACTTCTCATCATTCACGTTTTCTTTTCTCTCATTGTTATCTCTTTCTCGTTATTTTAAACATCCTTTCTTTTCTTTCTTTCTTTCTTTCTTTCTTTCTTTCTTTTCTTTCTTTCTTTCACTTCTCATCATTCACGTTTTCTTTTCTCTCATTGTTATCTCTTTCTCGTTATTTTAAACATCCTTTCTTTCTTTCTTTCTTTCTTTCTTTCTTTTTCTTTCTTTCTTTTCTTTCTTTCTTTTCACTTCTCATCATTCACGCTTTCTTTTCTCTCATTGTTATCTCTTTCTCGTTATTTTAAACATCCTTTCTTTCTTTCTTTCTTTCTTTCTTTCTTTCTTTCTTTCTTTCTTTCTTTCTTTCACTTCTCATCATTCACGCTTTCTTTTCTCTCATTGTTATCTCTTTCTCGTTATTTTAAACATCCTTTCTTTCTTTCTTTCTTTCTTTCTTTCTTTCTTTCTTTCTTTCTTTCTTTCTTTCACTTCTCATCATTCACGCTTTCTTTTCTCTCATTGTTATCTCTTTCTCGTTATTTTAAACATCCTTTCTTTCTTTCTTTCTTTCTTTCTTTCTTTCTTTCTTTCTTTCTTTCACTTCTCATCATTCACGCTTTCTTTTCTCTCATTGTTATCTCTTTCTCGTTATTTTAAACATCCTTTTCTTTCTTTCTTTCTTTCTTTCTTTTCTTTCTTTCTTTCTTTCTTTCTTTCTTCTCATCATTCACATCTTTCGTTTTTTCTCTCATTGTTATCTCTTTCTCGTTATTTTAAACATCCTTTCTTTCTTTCTTTCTTTCTTTCTTTCTTTCTTTCTTTCTTTCTTTCTTTCTTTCTTTCTTTCTTTCTTTCACTTCTCATCATTCACGTTTTCTTTTCTCTCATTGTTATCTCTTTCTCGTTATTTTAAACTTTTTTCTTCCTTTCTTTTTTTAAGATTTGATCCTTCAATTGATTCCGACCCTTCACTCTTTTCTTCTTTCCCCTATTATTTCTCTCGTCTCCCTTTTCTTATTTTGCCGTGACATGTTAAGCTTTCTTTATCTCTTTTTTTTACTTTTTTCTTTCCTTCTTTCTCTCTCCGATGCAATTAACTTTTGCACTTTTTAAAAAAATTTCCGTTACTTTTATTTTAGTCAAATTCTATCTTTCTTTCTTTCTTTCTTTCTTTCTTTCTTTCTTTCTTCTCCCATTACCCTTTCTTTCTTTCTTTCTTTCTTTCTTTCTTTCTTTCTTTCTTTCAATTACCATCTCCTCACCATATTTTTTTTTCTATCTTCCTATTATCCTCCATTTCTTCTCTCTCATTGTTTCTCTATTGCTACTTTTTCTTTCTTGTCTTCTCTCCGGATTTTTTGTTCTTTGTTTCTTTTTGTTTGTTTGTTTGTTTCTATTTCTTTCTTTCTTTCTTTCTTTCTTTCTTTCTTTCTTTCTTTCTTTCTTTCTTGTCCTCTGAGAAGATGAATAACAGGAGCTTATTTACACGCCCTCACGCAAACCTGACAGATAAAACTAGTCTTCTCCATCGTGATCAAAACATTTTCTGATATATGTCTTTTTGTGTTCGACCATATGTCTTTTTAATCCCGGCGTTGAGGAATGATGTCTACATATTCAGTGGAAATCTGCAGATTCGCACAAGGCTTAGCATGATTGACACATCCTGCCTTTGCATTACCGACTCGCCTCCTTTCTGCATATTGTACGTGAGTGTAACACACTTCATTCTATTCTTCTCAAACAACCCAGTCTCCCTTTTCACAGAGTCTTTCCACTCAGAACAACTTTCATCTAACTATTCCCAGGTGTTTCAGTCAGCTTTTTCTGATTCTGAGTAGAAGTGCTTCTTTTTATTATCATTTTCTCTGTAGCTTACTCGCTCCGTCCATGCAATTCTCAGCACTTTCTGGAGATTCTTCTTCATTTGATCCTGAAAATGTACAGTATTCGCTGACATAAAAGAGGATTTCATATCACATAGCTCTTCAACACTAGTTGTTTTGTTTATAACAAAAAATTCTTCTTTCATTGTAATTTTGTTTATCTTTAAGAATTATTTTTTTTGCTCGTCATATGCGTGTTCGGATTGCGGTGCTGTGTTTTTCATCTTAGTCTATGTCAATTATGACATTTATTATTTGTTCATCTCTATTTCTACATATGTTTCTTTTCACTAGTTCAAACAATTATATATATATATATATATATATATATATATATATATATATATATATATAATATGGACTCTCCCATCGGTTTCGACGTATGAGGATCTGCCAGCTTATTGATTCAGTTATGAAAGTTTATGCGAGAATCTTAAGTGGCATTTAAGACTCGCTAGTGATTTACAAAGGAGGCCACATATGGAGCAAGTGTGAGGATTGTGGGATGAGATCACTGTTAGATTGCTGAGTCCACTAAACACGTATATTGTAAAATGTATATATATATATATATATATATATATATATATATATATATGTAATTTTTATATATATTATTTATATATAATATATGCGCAGTACTTATTGGAAATAGCTCAATATCAGTGACAGAGCTAACATATTTAGTTGGATTGATGTGAATTTGTGACCCTGGGTTTCACGCTAATTGCCATCGTCACGGAAACTCTGACGATCTCAAATAGCGTGAAACCCAGGGTCACACTCTCATCAATCAACTATATATATATATATATATATATATATATATATATATATATATATATGTAGCAATCCATTCGTATATAATCCAAGTGAATCCTATTAACACAATATAAAATATTGAATATTAAGTATTAAGACTGACTCATACAAAGAGCTCAA